TATGATAAGGAACTTCTGGATGGAGGACATAAAGAATTTTTACAACTCAATAATAAGAAAAACCAACAAAAGAAATGGACAAAGGATTTGAATGGACAATTCTCTAAGAAAAATGTAGAAATGTCCAATATGCTCATGAAAAGATATTCAATATCATTAGCTATCAGGAAAATTCAAATCAGAACTATAATGAGATAACTATTTCACACCACTAGAATATCTCTAATCAAAAAAGACAGACAAATAGTTTAGCACTGAAGAGAATGGAATCTTCATCCCTTGCTAGCTGAAACATTAAATGGTGCAACCACTGTGGAAAAGAGTTTGGCAGTTCCTCAAAAGGTAAAACATAGAGTTAGCATATGACCCAGAAATTCACCTCCCAGGTATATACCCGACAGAAATGAAAACATATGTCTATGCAAAAACTTGCATATGAATGTTTGAAGCAACATTATTCACATTAGCTACAAAGTAGAACGAACCCAAATATACATCAACAGGTGAACAGATAAATAAAATGGGATAACATTCATACAATGCAATATTACTTGGCAATAAAAGGAAGTATTGATACAAGCTACAACATGCATGAACCTTGAAAATGTTTTACTAGGTCAAATAAACCAGACCCAAAAGATCACACGGTATGATTTCATTAATATGAAATTCTCAAAATAGGCAAATCTATAAAGTAGATTACTGGTTGACCAGGGCTGGCAAATGTGGGGTGAAATTAGGAATGACCATTAGTGGGTACTGGATTTCTTTTTGTAGTGATGAAAATCATTGATTGTAGTAGTGCCTGCATAACTGTAAACGTACTAAAAACAATTAAATTGTACGGTTTCAATGGCTGAATTCTTTGGTTGTAACTATAGCTCAAAAAAGTTGTTTAAAAAATTACTACAGCATAACTTATAATCATCTAAAGATCAGTTGGCATAAGCTTCCTCAAAATACCCTGTTTATTATAAATCCTGAAAATGATGGTAGAATTTATTTTGCCCACCCCCCACCATTTCCTAGAATTTCAGGCAGTAAAATCTTTCAGAGTCAGTGAGAAGAAATGAAAAAAAAAAAAAAAAACACCTTTTATTTTTCATTCTAGTTCATCCATACCAGAGGTGAATTTCTTAATTCAGCTGATATCCTCTAAGCTACACAGAAAAGCAAGGGCTTTGCTTCTCTAACTTCAATAACCTTATTTGAAGACATGGTAAGAATTAGGGTTTTCCAAATAGAGAAAAAAAATCACATATGTATATGTATGTAAGAGTGTGTGTGTGTATGCATATATGTACACATACAGTTTTTTAAGATGGGATCTTCCTGTGTTGTCCAGGCTGGAGTGCAGTGGCTATTCACAGGCACAATAATAGCACACTGCCGCCTCAAACTCTTGGCCTCAAGCAATCCTCCCACCTCGGCCTTCCAAGTAGCTGAAACTACAGGCACAATCCGTTGCACCCAACGAATACTTTACATTTTTTAAAAAAACTGTATCTAATATTGTGGTTCATTTTATTCTGCAACTTGGAAAAATATCACTTCTGCTACTAAACGCATTGTGATAACAATGTTTACCTTTCTCTCATCAAAAATTCCTGCTGGTGGGCCAGATGTGGTGCTTCACACCTGTAATCCCAGCACTTTGGGAGGCTGAGGCAAGTGGATCACTTGAGGTCAGGAGCTCAAGACCAGCCTGTCCAACATGGCAAAACCCCATCTCTACTAAAAATACAAAAATTGGCTGGGTATGGTGGCACACACCTGTAGTCCTAGCTACTTGGGAATCTGAGACATAAGACTCACTTGAACCTGGGAAGTGGAGGTTGCAGTGAGCCAAGATTGTGTCACTACACTCCAGCTAGGGCAACAAAATGAGACACTGTCTTTAAAAAAAAAAAAAAAGAAGGAGAAGGAGGAGAAGGAGGAGAAGGAGGAGAAGGAGGAGAAGGAGGAGAAGGAGAAGAAGGAGAAGAAGGAGAAGAAGAAGAAGGAGAAGAAGGAGAAGAAGGAGAAGGAGAAGGAGAAGGAGAAGGAGAAGGAGAAGGAGAAGGAGAAATTCCTGTTGGTAGATATTTCAGATATCTCCTAGGTTTTTGTTGTTGTATTGCAAATACTACTGCAAGTTAATTAAAGCTGGAATCACCCAGAAAATTTCTTAGAAATGGCAAGATATGAATTAGAACTGAAATAATGACCATGATTTAGACTATAAAAAGTCAAACGGGAAATGTATTTCAGGAAATAGGGAAGCATAGGGCCAAAAAAAAAAGTGAGTTAAAATAGCAAATGTCTCCAAAATTAAACTCTATGTGACAAGTAGTGGGAGATGACATGCCAATTTATCTTCTGCTAGTCCTCTGCTCAAGAAACTAATAAAGCCCAAACTCCTTAAATTAATTTTTGTTAACACAAGATTACAATTTTTGAAAACCAAGATCATGAACACAATAGTTTAAAAAGATTAATTTGTTGGTGCTAGTTGCACAAGTACATTCAGTTTGTGAAAAGTCATCAAGCTGAGCACTTATGATTTGTATACTTTCCTGTGTGTATGTTATAGTTCAATTAAAAGAAGGACAAAGAGACATAAAGACAGATTTTGATTTGGCAGCTAATAAGACAGAAGCAGCCATTATAGCAATATAGCTTGAGAAATGAAGATCTAGAATTGAAAATGTCAATGAGAATTAAAATGGAAGATTCTTGACCTAGTGAATGGATTTAGTGAACGAAAAAGAGACAATTCAATGAAATTTTTAAGGCTTTAGAAATAAATAATCATGACAGTATCAATAGAAATGAAAGAACAAGAATATGGAGCTACTTCAAGTAAACTATAATCATTTCAGCTGGAAATTTTACCTTTAGGTAAAATATTAAAGTTAAAAATCCAAACTTGAGAGTCAATTACTTAAAGGTGACAGATGGAACCAACACACTGAATGTTGACAGAAAAGCAGAGAGTGAAGGATAAAATCCATGAGAACCTGTCAATCCAAGATTGAAAGGAGGAGAAACCAACCAAGGGATAGAAATTAAGTAAGCAAAAAGATAACAGGGGCCTGGAAGAGTCACAGGTGTCAGGAGGAAAAAAAAAAAAGAAAAAAAGGTATTAATGTCGCAGGATCCTTAGGGTGTCGCTCTGCCAGCCAGAAACCTCCGTGACCAGTGGTGCCTCTGCTTGGGTTTTGCTTGTGCCTGCTGAAGTCATTCCATCCACTCAGCCTGGCAGGCTGCACTGGCTAACACTACTGGCCTGGATCCCACACCTGCCAAGGGTGAGACAGGCACGGAGCAGCAAGGGGTGTGTGAGTGAGCAAGTGTGGGATCTGTCCACTGCGCACAGCCAGGCACACCAGCTGCGGCAGGACAGGCAGCTCCAGGCACCAGCACACGTGCTGGCTCTGTTCAAGGCTGCAGTTGGACCAGACATACCACACGTAGCTTCAGTAGCATCTGGACAGGGGAAACACAATGGCACCAGAAAGCTCAGAGACACCAGGAACCACAGAGTCCCAAAGAGGGTGTTACAGGGTGTCACAGCCCTGGCTCAGGGAGTCCCAAGGTCTGGGCTCCCAGAAGGGCCACAGATCTTCTCTCTCTCTCGTCGCACGCAACGTGGCAACCGGAGGGCATGTTTCCACTGTGTTTGTGTTACAGCTCTTTTAGCCCACCATTCGGTGGGTCCCAAGCACTTGTCCCACGTCCAGAAAGAATGAGGTATGCAGACAACAGGAGGATGAGCAAGGCAGAGAGGAGCTTCACTGAGCGAAAGAATAGCTCTCAGGAGATCCGAAGTGGGTAGGTCCTTTCTGCAGGCAGGTTATCCCAGTGTGTGTTGAACTCAGAAGGGAAGTAGCTCCTTTCTGCAAGCAGGTCATCTGGATGAATGTGTGTCTAGCTGAGCCTGGATTTTATGTGCTCAGAATCAGGGAACTGCATACTGATTCCTCCATGGGCAGCCACGGTGCGCCTGGAAAAAGCACCATCAAATTTGCCAAACGGTCATCAATGAAGTTCTCACTCTGGGCCATGGACTTCACCTGGAACTGGCAGCCCAGCCCGCAGGCTTCAGGCCATCCCTGGCCTGAGGTAAGGTTTCACCAGGGACCCACCCCTTTTTGCCTAGGAACCTGTCTGCCTTTAACATGCCATCCACGGCACCCAAACTGACTGTGCCAAGAGGTGTCTATAGGCCAGTGCCAAGCTGCCTTCAGCCCCTGCAGCCCCTCCTTCCATCCTTATTGTTACCCAAAGTCCAGAGGGGACCACGGTGGCAAGGGGCTGGCAGGTCAGCACCACTCTGAGCACACATATACCCGGCCGGGTTGCAAACGTGTCTGGGCTTGGCCACAACTTTGCTTCCCCCTGAAGCAGGCGCCAGGAGCAGGGAGAGGCCAGGGAGCGAGAGCAGACACTTTCAAACCTGCAGGGGCAGGGGGCTTCCTGGGACCCAAGTTGCAACTGGGCAGCTGCAGCTGCACCCAGGAGCACAAAGCTCCCGCCTGTTCCCAGCCCCTGCGGGCTCTACGGAGTGCAGAGCCCTGGCCACACCTCCCCAGCCACAGCTGGCGTCTCCACAGCAGCTGCTCCAGACAGGCTGCCACCACCATCATTAGCAATGTCAAAAGTCAGAGGAAGATGTAAAAACTGCAAAAATCTCATCACCAAGCAGTACTTCAAAAGCTCCTACTGACTAATAATGGAAAAAGAAAATAGTGTTTAAGAAAAAACAAAAATTTGGCCAGGTGCGGTGGCTCACGCCTGTAATCCCAGCACTTTGGGAGGCCGAGTGGGTGGATCACAAGGTCAGGAGATCGAGACCATCCTGGCTAACACGGTGAAACCTCATCTCCACTAAACATACAAAAATTAGCCGGGCATGGTAGCGGGCGCCTATAGTCCCAGCTGCTTGGGAGGCTGAGACAGGAGAATTACGTGAACCCGGAAGGCAGAGCTTGCAGTGAGCCCAGATCGCACCACTGCACTCTAGCCTGGGCGACGGAGCGAGATTCCGTCTCAAAAGAAAAAACAAAAACCAAAAATTTAAACATATCACCAACAAATAAAGAAGTACAACCTTACTCCATAAGTTTCACAGCATGGTTTTAGTGAGTCCAGTACTACCCCAACCAGTCCAAAAGATATTCTGGCAAAGAAAAGTTAACAAAATCCTGAGATTTCACACTGGATACTCCAATATGAAAAGAAGCAGGCAGAGAATGAATAGGCCAAACTAGGGAAAGTCAAGAAAATATCTAAAAATATCTAAAGAGAAAAGTCCCTCTGTATCAGCATAGGGCTTTAGAAAACATAGGGAGGACAGCACTGGCTTACAATTTTCCAGAGCTCTGTGACGAACTGGTGAATGAAATTTAAGTCCAGGCATACAGGATGTTAAAGGAGCTCTTTAAAAAGTGAGTAAATCTCAGGGCCTCCAACAAAGCCAAACTCAACCCCAGCCAGTATCTCTCCACTCATTTACCTCCACACTCACATGCCACAGAAACTGAAATTAGAAGGAAAACCCAGCTTGTGGTCCAGACAAGATAGCACAGACCATTTTTCCCAGTTAATCCCCAATAAGCACAAATATAAACAAATAATACAAGGGACAACTAAAGAACTCTGGAAGATGGAAAGAAGAAGGTAAACTCCTTTGAAACCCTACAACTAGAAGAACAGCACAGAGGCAGGATGTCTTACGCCTACCTCACCCAAGTGAAGAAAGCCACCCAGACCTGGTTTTTCCCAGGCACAGCCTAGCAGCAGAAGGCAGCCCATGTAGGCCAATTCCTCCCAGAATAGAACAGGTGTCCCTCTGACAAATACCAAGGAAGCCAGACACCACCAGCAAGAGAGATTAATCAGGAACCTCAACAAAAACAAATAGCCAGTGGAAACACTCTCCTTCACCATGAGGCCTGAGACTCCCCTCCTTTTTTTTTTTTTTTTTCCAGTTTGCTCATTTTTTAATTTCTAAAGCTCCGTCATAAACTTCTAGCAGGTGCCCATGTCACCTGCCACACTCACACCAGGTTGTCTGTGTAGCCAGCAAACAAATGACCATCAACAGACCAGGCCAGGGAGGTACACTGAGGCAGTTCTGCCTTGCTGCCAGTACTGATAACTTCTTGCTTCAGTTCATCTACGATGATAAGTCCCAGATCTTGATGCTGGGGCCCATGATAACACAGAGTCAGTAGCAGTTGGTACTGAAGCATAGGGTGTTGATAATGCCCCCACCATCTAGCAATATAAAGGTGTTTGCCTTCATTGAGATCCCATAGCATGGCCTGGCCATCCTTGCCTCCAGATACACAGAGGGATCCATCCGGAGAGACAGTCACAGTGTTCAGATAATCTGTGTGGCCAATGTGGTTAGTCTTCAGCTTGCAGTTAGCCAGATTCCATACCTTGACCAGCTTGTACCAGCTACAGGAGACAGTGATAGGGTTGCTGCTGTTAGGCAAGAAGCGAACACAAGACACCCACTCTGTGACTCTCATACTAGACAGTGTATCTGCACATACCCAGGTGTTGGGAACAGGCCCCCAAATCTGGCCATAAACTGGCCCCAAAACTGGCCATAAACAAAATCTCTGCAGCACTGTGATGTGTTCATGGTGGCCACAATGCCCTGGAAGGCTGTCAGTTTACTGGAATGAGTGCAAGGAACGCCTGGCCCACCCAGGATGGAAAACCGCTTCAGGTGTTCCTAAGCCACAAACAATAGCACGAGCGATCTGTGCCTTAGGGACTTGTTCCTCCTGCAGATGACTAGCCAGAGCCCATCCCTTTGTTTCAGCCCATTCCTTTGTTTCCCATAAGGAATACTTTTAGTAAATCTATAATCTATAGAAACAATGCTTATCACTGGCTTGCTGTCAATAAATATGTGGGTAAATCTCTGTTCCGGGCTCTCAGCTCTGAAGGCTGTGAGACCCCTGATTTCCCACTCCACATGCTATATTTCTGTGTGTGTGTCTTTAATTCCTCTAGCGCCACTGGGTTAGGGTCTCCACGACTGAGTTGGTCTCGGCACCCAGGGTATTCTATAACTTGATGGTTTTATCTCATGAGCCACAGGCAATCTGCTGGTTGTCAGGGGAGGCCACATTCGGCATGTCCTTGTATGGCCAACAAACTGTCTCATGGTAATGCCCATTGTGAAATCCCAGAGGCACGGGGTTCCATCCAAGGAGCCTGACAGGACAATCTGACCATCTGAGGAAATGACCAAGTCACTAAGAAAGTGGGAGTGACCACACATAGCATGTTGTGGGATGCCATAGTTGGTATCTTCCCTGCTCAGTTTCTACATAATGATGCTCTTGTCTTGAGAGGTGGACAGGATCATGTCCAGGAACTGTGGAGTAGCAGTGATCTGGGTTACCCAGCAGTTGGGGCCCTAAGGGTGCCACAAAGGGTCATCTGCTCAGTCACAGTGATGGCAATTCGAGATTCCTCTTTTCCATCAAGAGAAACAAAGGCAGGCACGAAGAACCAGAAGAGAGGGGGCCTGCTCAGGAACTTCTGTCTCCACAAGCAGCCCAGTCAAGAACCTTGGTCTTCACAGGTCTGAGGATCTCCTTCTCTATCCAGAGACATCAGAACAGGCAGTCGGAACTGGCAAGCAAAACCCAGTTTTGCTAGATATCCAATCTCAGGAAGCCTCTTGTTCTTCACAGGTCCAAGACTCTCCTCCCCTGTCCAGAGACATCAGGGTAGCAGGGAGCATGGTAAGGAAATCCCAGCCCATCCCTTCCCCAGCAATAGATATACACTAACTCAGCATAAGAATGAATCTCCTACTCCTTCAGGCAGCACCACCAGAGATCAGTGAGAGCCCTAGTGCCACCAGATACAAGAAGCCAACAAAAACAACAGTGCAGACTCAAAATTAAACTATCATTGGAACCACAACCCACAAAAATATAGGCTAACACCTTCATGATAAACCTAAACAGGATGATTGCTTGTGAAAATAAAAGGTTGAACTAGTCCTCAGAATCTCCTAACATATTAGACAAAATATTTAAGTTTCAAATGGAAATCACCTGTCACACCAAAAACCAAGAAAAACTATAACTTGAATGAGAAAAGACAATCAACCAATGCAAACACCTAGATGAATCAGCTGTTGAAATTATCTGACAAGAACTGTAAAACAACCATCATAAAAATGCTTCGACAATCATTTATAAATTCTCTTAAAACAAATGTAAAAATAGAAGATCTAAGCAAGGAAATACAGTTATAAAAGCAACCAGATGAAAACTATGTAACTAAGAAATGCAATAACAAAAGACAAGCTAGATAGGCTCAGTAGCAGAGTGAAGACGACACAGGATACAATCAATGAGCTTATGGACAGAACAACAGAATTCACCCAATCCAAACAACCCAGAAAAAAACAGACAGAAAAAATTAAGAAAGCCTCACAGACCTGTGGGACAACAACAAAAGATCCAACATTTGTATCATCAGAGTGCAAGGAGAAGAGAAAGAGAGCCAGACTGAAAGATAATTCAAAGAAATATGGTCCAGCCTGCTGTATAGCTACAGAAATCAAGACAGTGTGCTATTAGTCGAAGACAGACAACAGATCAATGAAACAGAGAATCCAGAAATAACCAACACAAATATGTTCAACTTATTTTTGACAAAGGGCTAATAGTAATCCAATAGAAGAAGAATAGCCTTTTCAACAAACAGTACAGGGGCAATTAGGCATCTATTGGCATAAAAGAAAAAAGAACCTTGACTGACAACTGTTACAAAATTTAACTCAGCCCTGGCAAAGTGGCTCACACCTGTAACCCCAGCACTTTGGGAGGCCAAAGCAGGCATATTGCTTGAGCCCAGGAGTTCAAGATCAGCCTGGGCAACAAAGCGCAACCCCATCTCTACCAAAAAAATAAAAAGAAAACAAAAATTTAACTCAAAAGGATTATGGACTTAAATGTAAACATAAAGCTGCTTAAAGCTGCTAACATTTAGAGAAAAAAATACAGGAGGAAATCTTTAAGATCTAAAGCTAGGCAGAGTTCTTAGATTTGACACCAAAACCACAATCCAAAAACGAAAAAAATGAATAAAATAGACCTCATCAAAAGTAAAATATTTTGCTCATGTGAACAAGATGAAAACAAGTTGCAACTTCTGGCTTCTAGTGGGCATGTAAGAAAATTGGTCTATGCAGGAGGTTGAGGGGGGAGGATCACTTAAGGCCAGGAGTTCAAGTCCAGCTTGGGCAACATAGCAAGAGCTCATCTCTAAAAAAAAAAAAAAAGAAAAAAAAAATACTTGGAAATCACTAGGCCATCCTACCAACAAGAAAAGCTAAACAAACTGAAAAATCTACAACTCTTCTCAGATCAGTAAGAGAAATGAAGTCACATGGCAAACCCCTGCCCCATAAATTGGAGAAACAGGTGACTGCAAAGAATCCCATCATACTGAAGCAGAAAACTCAGCAGGAACCAGTGCAGGGTAGGAAAAACTGAACTGTAACTGACAAACTGCTGAAGGCTCAGTGCCAACAAGTGGGAAACTTAAACATGTCAGGGGGACTCAGTCATAGAAGAGCCTTCATACTCTTACTAATTTCACCTCCAGTAAATCAATATGGTTCTCACAGTATGTATTACAGGGTGGTGGTAAAAAAAAAAACAAAACAAAACAAAAAAACCTACTACTTCTGACAGGGAGCGGGAAGCAAAATCATTTTTAAATAAGCTAGAACATTCTGTTCTTAATAAGATCTTTCCCTCAGGAGAAACTATTTAGTCAGAGCCTGCTGGGGTTTTATCAGAGCCTAACTAACTTATAGGAAGGGAAATAGGAAATACCAATTGCAGCCCATACTAGCCACGCTGTCTTACCTTGGGAGGCAGGGGATAGTTTTAACAAACATCTGTGAAAGTCACACCCAGAGACACAGAGACTCATTAAAGGACTGAGATCTAATCATTGGACTGTAGAATGCTTCCTATCGCCCAATACCTTACTGCCACATTACTAAAGGCCTATTTACAAAGCAGCTCCTTTTACCCAAGACATCAGCTTCAGCTATCCAGAAAAATTTATATGGCATACCAAAAGGCAAAAAAACACAGTCTAGGCTGGGCATGGTGGCTCATGCCTATAATCCCAGCACTTTGGGAGGCTAAGGCAGGTGGATCACCTGAGGTCAGGAGTTCAAGACCAGCCTGGCCAACATGGTGAAACGCCATCTCTACTAAAAATACAAAAATTGGCCAGGCGTGGTAGCAGGCACCTGTAATCCCAGCTACTTGGGAGGCTGAGGCAGGACAATCGCTTGAACCCAGGAAGCAGAGGTTGCTGTATGCCAAGATCATACCACTGCACTCCAGCTTGGGTGACAGAGTGAGACTCCATCTCAAACAAACAAAAAAACACAGTCTGAAGAAAGAGAGCTAGTATAAGAACCAGACTCAGACATGGCAAACGATGTGAGAATTATCAGATCGATTACTAAAAACAACTATAATTAATATGCTAAGGGTTCTAATGGATAAAATAGACTGCATAAAAGAACAGATAGGCAATGTAAGCAGAGAAATGGAAATTATAAGACAGAACCAAAAAGAAACACTAGAGATCAAAAACACTGTAACAGAAATGAAGAATGCGGTTCAATTAAGTTGATAGGCTCAGTCTAGTAGACTGGACACAGCTGAGGAAATCTAGAGGATATCCCAATAGATACCTAAAAAAAAACTACAAAGCAAACAGAAAAAAGACTGAAAAAATACAGAGCAGAATGCACAAAAACTGTGGGATAACTATAAAAGGTGTAACATACATGTAATGGGAATGCCAAAAGAAGAATGAGAGAAAGGAACGGAAAAAATATTTGAAACAACAATAAATGACAATTTCACCAAAACAATGTCAAGTACTAAACAATCAATCTAAAAAGCTCAGAAAACTCCAAGCAGGATAATGATTAAAAAACAAACAAACAACAACAACAAAAAAACTACATCTAGGCATATCACAATTCAAACTACAGAAAATAAAAGATAAAGAAAAAATCCTGAAAGAAGCCAGTGGAAAAAAGACATTACCTATCAAAAAGCAAAGAGAATAATTACATTGACGTTACCTCCAAAACTATATAAGAGAGTGAAGTGAATTATTTAAAATCTTAAGATAAAAAGTAAAAAATTTAAAAACAACACACCAACCTAGAATTATGTATCTTGCAGAATTATCCTTCAAAAGTGAAAGAGAAATAGTTTCTCAAACATAAAAATTGAGGGAATTTGTTGCCAGTAGACCCAACTTGCAAGAAATGTCCAAAAGAAAAGTTCTTCAGGGGGAAGAAAAATGATAGAGGTCAGAAACTGACATCTATATAAAGAAAAGCACTGGAGATGAGCAAGTGAAGGTAGGATTTAAAGAACACTTGTTTTTCTTACTCTCAATTGATCTAACACATAAGTATTTGTTCAAAATAGCAGCAACAATATATTCGATTATGTATGCTCATGTGTGTGTATATAGATATATGCTTATGTATGTTTATCTATAAGTGAAATAAATAACAGCAATGGTACAAAGGATGGAGGTGGTAATTAGTATTTTATTATTTTGATCCTACTAAAATCCGGAACAAGGCAAGGCTGTCCCCTGTCACCTCTCCTTCTCAACATCTTACTGGAAGTCCTACTAATGCAATAAGTTAGGAAGGAGACATTAAAAGTGTACTGATCAGGAAAAATAAAATAAAACTGTGTTTGTTCACAGATGACAAGATTGTCTGTGTAGAAAACCTGAAAGAATTGACCCAAAGAACTCCTTGAACT